ATATCTATAATTTTTTTTAATATATTAAGATTGTTTATAGATTTTCATAAAACTAATTATCTTAAAATGTTATTTCTTGTGTTTTAATTTCAGGTACCTTACAATTTATATTAAAATTCTATTTTAATTATCCACATTCACATGCAATCAATAGAAAATCTCATATTAATGTCGTGTTATGCAAAAAAAAAAAAAATCTTAGAAATAGAAATATCTCATATTAATTTAGTGTTTTGCCAAAAAAAAAAAATGATCTTAGAAAAGTTTACTGGGTTTTAGGGTGGAAAATGATTTTCTAAAAGTTAAGAAAAATTAGAAAAAGAAAAAAAAAAGAAAATCTCATGACCTGCCTAGCAAGTTAGCCTGTCTAAATGGCATGCAAAGAGAGTATTTATACATTAATTTTTGAATTTTGTATTATAGTAAAAGCCCAAGTTGAAAAATATAACAATAACAATAGAACAAAATGATTTTCCCCTAATAAATTCCATGTGGGAGGGATTTAGTAGCTTGCGATTTTTTTTTTGTAAGTCCTCCGTTCTTTTTATACAGGCACAACCAATTTTTCATCAAGTTTTAAAAAGTAGTTTAACTAACTTTTTTTTGTTAAGGCACAACCAATTTTTCATCAAGTTTTAAAAAGTAGTTTAACTAACTTTTTTTTGTTATTTTTTTCTTAATTTACCCCTAATATATAATTTATTTCTCCTCTAATATCAATGCATGTTTTGAAATTATGTTTCAATCTTCAATGAGATTTTAAATGCTTTGTTGAAATGAATAGAATACAAACAGTTGCAAAAATGAAGTTTATGCTCTAACATGTAGGGAGCAATTCATTTTTTGTCTTTTATTTGGAAAAGTTATGTGAGAATATGAAAATTTGTGTTTATTTTAACTTTCCAACTATCTTTGATTATTGAAAGCATACTTTAAATATTGTACGATTTTTTAAATTTTCAGCAAAGTCCGTAAAAATTCCTTTTAATGTGGCCAGCTTGAAAATTCTATGGTCTTTTTCTATTCAAACTTCATTTTAATCAGTGCTCATATAGCCCATATGCGCACATTATTTTTTTTTACAATGGAAATTGATATAAAAAATCCATTCACCAAAATTTATTCACATCAAGTGTTTATCTATACTTTTGTCTGCCACTATTTTAAGAATCTTCAAACTAAAAGCTTTACAAAGGATTAAAATAAAGGTAAGATAGACATTTCATATTGAAATGTTCTCAAAGTTACCAAATTAGGCAAAATTTTTTATATAAAAGAACATTCAAAATGAAAATTTTTCCTATATAAAAAGAACAGAGAACGGTATTTTTATCACCAACTAATAAGCGCTCATAAAAAGAGATAATAATAAAAGCAGAGACTAAATTTCTTTTATGTGATAATAAGTTGTAATTTTGCCAACACTCTAAAATCTCACCTCCAAAGTTTCAAAGTTGCTGGTCTTCTTTGTTTAAATAAATAAATAAATGATTATTTTAATGTCACATCAATAGCTTGTTGGACTTGGGATGTCAACACGCTATATCAATGGAGAAGAAGTAACACAGGAAAGAACATGATTAGCACCAATTCCTAATTAGCAATTGCTTTATTTCTTATATAATTTTATTAAAATAATTTTTAGTGGACTAATATTTGTCTTTTATTTTTTATTTTTTCCCTGAAGTTAGGACTCAACTCAAAACTTGTAGATATAATAATTGCATTTCATTATTAATATTTTCTTTTTTTCAAACAAGCCAAGTTGTGATTAGGATGGTAATGGGTATGGTTGGGATCATGTAATGCAATATCCATACCCAAATCCAATTCTATTCTCAATCCTCATATGTTATGTAATATCTTATCGGGTACGAAATATTTTATCAATCTCTAAAGTCAAAGGATTTAGATATTTCCATGGATACCCATTATCCGTTAATATCCATTTAACACTTATTCATTTTTTTAAAAGTTAAATTATATTGACCGAAAAAATTAAATAATTATCCAAATGATTTATATAATACATAAAAAATATGAAAATGAATTAATACATAAATAAATATCTGAACAATGGTAAATTAAAATTTTAATTCTAAAGTTGTTCTTTTTATTATATGAATATTCCAAATCATTATTACCATTATGATTTTTCTCCATTATTTGAACTGAAATTAAATATTAAAAATTAAATTTTGAATTTCAAAATCTAAAATTTCAAAAATTCGATGAATTCAAATTAATATATGAAAACTAGAGTTAACTTATTTTGCACTATAGTTAACTTATTTTGCACTATACTACATTAAATTATAATTTATATAGATAATCTACTACAAGTAATCAAATTTATTAAAAATTGTATAAAAAGTAATAAATTTTTAAATATTTGGGGTTTGAATTTCAATTATGGGATCGGCTTCGGGTTTTTAGTAGCAATACTGATATCCAAAATAAACTTTTGAATTTCAATTATATACTCTTTGTAAATTTGTTATTTAGTCGATGTAGAATTTTTAAGAGCAGTAACATGTGAAATTCATGGTAATTTTATATTCTAAAATGATTGATACATCATATGGTTGAAATAGAGCGAAATTTCATCATGTCAATGTGCAAAAGTTACAAGTATTTTTACTAATTTTTACTTCAACAAAGTTTAAATCTTCCATATCTGAAATTGAATTTGGTTATTTTAATTCCTCAATTTTGTAATATTAATTAACAACCAAAAGTATCAAAAATGTTATTTAAATTAAATAAGGTTTCCAAATTTCACATATATAAACTAATTTTTTGTTATATGTAATTTATTTCCTTGATTTGAAATAAACTAAATTACAATAGAAAATCCACTTGAATCAAATTAATATCCACATGTGAAACAAATTTCGGTTATATTTAGATTTTTTTCTCGATTTTGCCACAAGTTAATTACTCAAAAGTATCGGCCTTTATTTTTTATAGGAACAATAAAAGAAATTATAGGGAAAATATTTTTTTCTCGTCCATAAGGTTTTGCATAATTAAATTAATTCGTCAATATGTTTTTGACTATTAATTATTTAAGTCCCTTGAGGTTTGATTGCTGTCACAGTTAACAGTCCTTTCGTCCAAATTTAATTGTCTTTTGCCAGTTAAAAATCGATGTAAAACAAAGAGAGAGGAGAAGAGATATATTCTTAAATGCGATATTGTACCCTTTAATGAAGATCAATCAAAAAGAGGATATTTTGAAATAGATATTATCTAATTTCCTTTCCACTTCTGAACTTTCTCTAGAAAAATTCAAGGCTAGGGTTTTTCTCCCTCACAAAACCCCTTTATTCATGTCCTTCAATCATGCGACGGCAACAACTCATTTGAGGGGGGTTTTTGTCAATTTTTGTATTGTAAGTATGGGGAAAAGAGCCAGGAATAAGGATCTCTAAACAAAAATCGTCTCTACTATTATTGTGTCGATAATGTCCTGTGGATCATTTTCTAGTTGGTGTAAGCAAGTTGACGTTGAATTCAAGCCAAACCAAAGCTAATCAGTGAGAATGAAGTCAGTTTGCCAAAGAAAGTGTTCCTCAGGGTTGTTAGTGATATGAAGGAGGAGCTTTTGTTGATTCATGACTGAGATGATGTCTTGCAACATGCATGTTCCTAAAATGCCTGTTCCTATGTTTTGTGTCCCTACGCCATCTGTTAGTTCTACTGAGCCTTCCATCACTAATTCTAGCATTGGAGTTGGTCGTTGATTAGGTAAATAATCAGATTGTTGGGTCATGAACCTTTTAATTCATTAGTATGGTCTTTTCTGTTGTGAATCTTTCTTCTTGTATTGCAGAATTGTTCTGTTTCTTTCTTATCAGAGCATATGATAGATTGCATTCCAGAAATAACTTGTGACCTAAGGTTGTGTTAAATTTTGGGCCCGAAAGAGCAGATGGGCTGAATTTTTGAACTTGCAATGTCACAGTACTATTGAGTTGAATCTTAACGTAAATTATTCGAGGGTATCTTTCCTTGTAATTGAGTGTAAAGACAACTCAATATAATAGATTTTAAAAGGTAAAATTAATCCCTTCTAGATAGCTCATTTTAATTTGAAACGTATAAAAGAAAATTATACAAAAATTCAAATTCAGATTCAAGTCTTCTTCTTCTTCTTCTTTTTTTTTTTTCTTCTTTACTCTAAAAATATTGGGAAAAAATTACGCAAAATCCCTAATAAGTCGAAAATAACACACAATTTGATAACGGAGTTCGGCCAATCTTGCCTACGTCTTCGGACTGCCACATATCTTTTATAGGAGAAAAATAAATAAAGTGTTTACATACACTCACAACCCTCTATTCAAGAATACCCGAAAAATTAAGCTTATAAAGCAGTTGAAACTTTTGCATCAAGGAAAATACAAGACGACTTAATATTTATATATCCATAATGATAATAATGTTTAAAGGAGATTTCGAAATTTTTATAGCAACATGAAATATTTAAATACTAACAATTCTACTAGATTCCCGATTTGACCGGGTACACATAATATTATATAAAGAATTTTGATTTTATTATTTTGATTTTATTCGTATATTTTATCATAATATAAAATATTACCCTGTATTTTTTTGAAATACGTTTTATTTATATATTTTGCCTTATCCTTTTGTCAATATTTATATGTTTTCTGTTAAATACACAAACAAATTAGTTAATTTTGTAAAAAAAAAGATAAAATAATAATTTATTGACAAAAAAAAGTATAAAAAAAAGAAGTTAGTAGAAGGATGTAAAGGTATAACAGAGACAAAAGATAGGAAGAGAACAATATATTTTAAAAAAATGCAAGGGCAATATCATATATTATAGCAAAATACAGGGACAAAATCATAAGTTTTCCCCATATTATATTTCCCCATATTATAAGTATATATATATATATATATATTATATATAATATATATATGCGAAGTTAGCATGCCGTTTAAATTGCTGCCAATAGCAATCCTGTTGTACGAGGTTTTTGATCATGTACTTTTGCACGTTTGGTTTACTTTTATTACTTGTTATTGTTTATTCCCTCCTTTCAAATTCTGTTTACCTCAAAAAATCTAGCTTTGATCCTGATGTAGCCGATATACTCTATCATGGCGATGCAGCATCTTCATCAGGCGTAATCGAGTTAATTAACAGTCACATTTATATATGTCGTGTCGGTTGGGCCACCTTGGCTAAGAGAGTCCCGCTTTGGGACTCAAATTCTGGGCAGGTTTCGGATTTCACAACTCATTTCACTTTCATCATTGGCACTCAAGGTCAGTCTCAGTCCACATATGGCGATGGCCTCGCCTTTTTTCTTTCTGCTGCTGGATTTGAAATCCCACCAAATTCCGCTGGTGGGTTTTTAGGCCTTTTTAATACTTCAACAATTGATGATACTTCTAAGAATCAAATTGTTATGGTGGAATTTGATTCATTTCGAAATGCAGAATGGGATCCGCAGCCTGTAATGGGACATGTGGGTATAAATAGCAAATCTCTTAGTTCTGTTGTTTATACTGGTTGGAATGCGAGTTTTCATAGCGGAGATACTGCTGATGTGTGGATTTCTTACAGTGGTAGTAGTAAAAATTTGAGTGTTTCATGGTCTCACAAAAACACCGTAAATCCTCAAGAAAATTCTAGTTTACATTGTGTAATTGATCTCACCAAGGTTTTGCCTGAGTTTGTTTCTATTGGTTTTTCAGCTGCTACAGGCGCAATCCAGGAAAGTGTTCAAATTCTTTCATGGGAATTCAACTCCACCTTGGAAATAAATGAATAAACTGAAAAATTTTCAAAAAAGACAAGAACAATAGTTGGAGTTTCAGTTTCTTTATGTCTTCTCGGAACTGTGGCAGTAGTAGGAATTTTGATTTCCTGGAGGAGGAAAAGAATAAGAGCGGTGAAAATGAAGCCTTTGTGAAGATATCTGCTAACTGTAATCGTGTAGGAACATATTGTGGTTTGACCAATCCTGACTGCAACTTCTCTCTAACAATGTGACAATCTATCTCGATGTGTTTTGTTCGTTTTGTTCGTTCTGAAAAACAGGATTCGCCGCTATATGTATGCTGCTTGAAAATTATCAAAAAACAAAGATGCCGTTGGCGCCCGTTCCTGACTTACTTTTTAGATCACGAAGCAAATAATGGATCATCACGAAGCAAATAATGGATCCAAGTCAACTCAAGGCATGTATTTGCCATAGATCTGTATTCTGCTTCTTCTGCCGAAGACCTAGAAACATTAGTTTGTTTCTTTGACTTCCATGAGATCAATGAACTTCCCAGAAATATGCAATAACCTGAAATGGAACGTCGTGTTGTACGACAACCTGCCCAATCTGAGTCACAAAAGGCTGACAATTTCAAATTATTTTCACGCGGCAACAGCAAACCTTGTCCCGGAGTACTTTTAATATACTTTAAAACCCGAATGGCTGCTTCCCAATGTGGTTTTCTTGGTTCATGCATGTATTGAGATAATGTGCGGACAGAATAAACAATATCCGGTCTTGTTACCATTAAATAGATCAATCGACCGATCAATCGTCTGTACCTTGTTGGATCATGTAATTTTTCTCCATCTGTGAGCGTTAATTTAACATTTTGTTCCATTGGGAAGCTCTCCGGCCGTGAACCTATATGGCCAGAATCTTCCAAAATATCTAGCGCATATTTGCGTTGGGACATAAAATTTAGAATGAGGAAAATTCTATACCCAAAAAATAACCAAGCCTTTTCCCAGATCCTTTGATAAAAAATTTTCTTGAATAAGAATTGTTTTAAGGGAAGGGCCATGATTTCTTGCATACTATTCCCTGTCACAAGGATGTCGTCTACATAAATAAGTACTGCAGTGAAGGATGTATCTTGCTGTTTGGTAAATAAGGAGTAGTCTGCTTTTGACTGTGCAAAACCGGCGGATGCTAATGCCTCAGAAAAGGTAGAAAACCAATTACGGGATGCTTGTTTTAGCCCATAGAGGGACTTGTTGAGCCGACAAACCATGTTCTCCCCCTGTCGGCATAATCCGGGAGGCAGTTCCATGTAGACAATTTCCTGCAAATTTCCATGTAAAAAAGCATTTTGTACATCCAATTGATGAGTAAACCAATTTCTGGCAGCAGCAATAGTAAGTAAACAACGAAGAGTTGTCATTTTTGTGCTCATTTTTGCTTGTTAGGAGGAAAAGGTTTCCTTGTAGTCGAGACCTCTACCTGTGTATATTTCCTTTTGCACGAAGGCGAGTTTATATCGCTCAATTGTACCATCAGAATGATATTTTTATTTTGTAAACCCACCTGCAGCCAATAGGTTTGTGACCGCGGCGGGGAAGAGGAACAAGAGACCAAGTGTTATTGCGCTGTTAATGCTTGTAATTCCAGCATCCATAGCTGCTTGCCAATGAGGGATTTTGGACAGCTTGGGGAATAGGTGGTAGGTTTCAACCTGCGGATGTTATACTGGCTTAAAAAAGCACGATGAGATAATGAAAATTCGTGAAAAGATATGATAATGAGACAGAGGATACTTGTATTTCGACGAGGACTTGTGGCGAGGGGATGAAATGATTTGACTGCATCAGACATGAAGTACTCTTGATGCCAGGCTGGAGGTTGGCGGTCGCGAGTTGAGCGACGAAGATTTTGGAAAAATTGTCATTCAGTTGACGGGTGTGAAGAGCTGGAAGATTCTGACAAACGGGAAAGATTGCGGGGTGATTGACGAAGTGGAATTAATGGGCAAAGGGCGGTTGTTTTGAGGAAGATTGTGGAGATGTAGGATGTGCGCTGGAGATAAAGGGAGAAATCTTGTTGGATGATGGAGATGGCGCTGCAGATAAAGGAGAATCTTTGTGGAGATGTAGATGGCCCGCTTGAATTATGCGCTGAATTATGCGGGGGTGGGGATGAATCTGACGTAATATGTGGTTCGGATATCTTGGATTCTGCTTCTGGGAAAATTGGCAATAAAGGAAAATTATGTGCCACAGGATTAGGAGAAGATTGTGATGACTGCATATTATTTGGAGACGCAAAAGGAAAAGTATCCTCTTGGAAGTAGACATCTCTGCTAATAAGGAATTTTTGTGTAGAGAGGTCATATAATTTATAACCTTTTTTGCCATGAGGATATCCCATAAAAACGCACCGAATGGCACGGGGATCAAATTTTCCTTTTGGGTGAACGTTGGTTGCGTAGCACTGGCAACCAAAAATTCGCAAGTGATCAAGTGAGGGTGGCCTTTTGTAGAGCTTTTCATATGGTGATTGATTAGATAAAAGAGGAGTTGGAAGCCAGTTAATTAAATATACGGCTGTAAGAATACAAAATATACAGCTGTAAGAATACATTCCCCCCAGAATTTAAGAGGTACATGTGATTGAAAAAATAAAGAACGTGCCACATTTAGTATGTGACGATGCTTGCGTTCGACTACTCCGTTTTGTTGTGGAGTATAAACACATGTATTTTGGAACTCGATGCCTTGATTGAGAAGGAAATTTTGTAAAGGCTGAAATTCACTCCCATTATCTGTGCGAATGATTTTAACGGAAGTGTTAAATTGTGTTTTTGTAAACTGAATAAATTTGATGAGTAAGTCGGATGTTTCTAATTTTTGTTTCATAAGAATAAGAAAAACCCAAGTACAACGAGTAAAATCGTCAACTATGGTGAGAAAAAAACGTGCCCCAGAATGCGAAGGAATTTTATGAGGTCCCCATACATCGCAGTGTAATAATTCGAATGGAATTTTAGTTGTGATAGAACTAATTGGAAAAGGCAATCTCGTTTGTTTTGCAAGAGGACAAATACTACAATTATTGTGAAATGAGACTGTTTCTTTATTAATTGGTAATGAAGAGGAAAGTAATTTGAAGGAAAGTAATTTGAAGTGAGAAAAAGAAACATGTCCGAGGCGTGAATGCCATAAATCAGGACTATTTGAGACTTGGAAGGAAGCTGGAGAAATGGAATCCCGCATCATGTAATAGAGTCCCCCATGTTGTTTACCCCAGCCAATCATCTTCCCCGTCGTTAAGTCTTGCAAAATACATGAGTCAGGAAAAAAGGTGACAGAACAATTAAGATCTTTTGTAATTTTGCTGGCTGATATTAAGTTTAAGCGAAAAGTGGGTACGCATAGGACATTTTTGAGTGTTATATCCCGATTGAAAACCATGTTGGCATACTTTCGGTGAACTTTCTGAACGTCCTCCGGTCCGGCCGGACTGTTTGCGGCCCAGGAAAACAGGCTTTTTGAGCCTCAAAATTTGAGTATTCACAGAGAGAAAGATGGTTGATGTTTTGACAAGAGGGAAGGGTGCGACGTCATGTGATCGGTGGAACCACTATCTAAAATCCAAGAATTGGTGAAAACAGAATTGACATGAGATATGAATGCTGAAAACAAACCTGCTGCGTTTGCAAAAATATCACTATTACCAGAAGAGGAATTCTGATTCATGGTAGATAATGCTTTGGCCAATTGTTGAAGATATTCAGGCGAAAAACTCATGAGGGAATTATCATCATTCATGCTCGAATTTTTTGCCATATTTGCCGCAGATTGTGGCTTGCTTCGTGAACCCCGATTCTGTTGCGGTGGTCCGCCTTTGTTGTTTTTCAGCCTACAACGAGTGTCCGCCTTTGTCACAGAATTTGCAGTAATATTTCAAAGTTCTGCATTCTTCAATTGTGTGACCAGAACGATGGCAATGATCACACGTTTTGTTATTTTTGATCCCGGATGCCTTGCTCTGGATATTCGCGGCAATGGTGAAGCTCTCAGTGGGTTCTGATGACAATTGTCTCTGTGTCTCCTCTTGAATTACCAGGGAATACGCCTGTCGTACGTTGGGTAATGGTGTCATCATGAGGATATTTGACCTTACCCCTTTATATGATTCATTCAGACCCATAAGAAACTGCATCAACCTGTCCTCGTCCTCCTGAAGTTGTTCCTGATGTGCCTTGGCATGATTACAAGTGTAGGGATCTCAAAAATTTTCGAGTTCATCCCATAAGGCTTTGAGTTTGGTATAATATGAGGCCACGAACATAGAGCCTTGTGAGATTGTTGCAATAGATTTCTGAATTTGGAATATTGCCGGTGCATTCTTTTGGGAAAATTGATCTTTGAAGTTTGTCCAAACTTGCTATGCTGTTTTGGCATGAATGACACCTTCTGTCAGGTCTGCTTCAACAGAATGAGTAAGCCAAAGCCAAGAAAGTATTAGGCTGTTGCATTGATTCCACAATCGAGTTCCGTAGCGTTTTCTCTGGGACGGGGCTTCTTAGCGGGACACCCCATCGTCTAGCGACCCATCGATGAACCCTAACTTGTTCTTCGCAGTAAGAGCGTGAATCATAGCCTTACTCCATGATCGATAATTTTCTCCATTTAATTTAACTGGTACGAGCATGTGACCAGGTTGATCTGAATGATGAACGTAATATGAATGCGAAGGATCCATATTACCAGCCTTTGATGATTCCATGTTACGGGCTTTTGGTGATTCGTCGCCCATTGTTGACTATGGAAAAGGAAAGAAAACAGAAGCTTCAAGAGCACCAGGAAAGTTGCTCTGATACCATCTAAAATAAAGAAAAGGATAATGGTTTACAGTGTTGTGATGTTTATTAGAAAAGTGCATAATTTATACAAGTACAAGTATCAATCTCATCCTATAATTAAGCTATCTCATCCTGTAATTAAGCTATGTCAATCTCATATTTATAACAATGACAGATGGTAAAGATAATTACAATTAACTGATTAATATTTTCCTTAATAAAACACCGTAAATCCTCAAGAAAATTCTAGTTTACATTGTGTAATTGATCTCACCAAGGTTTTGCCTGAGTTTGTTACTATTGGTTTTTCAGCTGCTACAGGCGCAAT